TGGCCAGAGCAGCGGCTCACGGCCATTTTTATATGGCGTGGTTTGGCTTCACCAGAACCACTTCGGCGCCCTGACAACACACGGAATGGATGCTGCCGCAATCAGAGGACATCTTACGATACTGGAGTATGTGTGTGTAAACCGGCAAGTGCGCTGCAGAGATGCATTCGACTGGTGCGTTCGCCGGGGAGACTACCATATGGCCAGATGGGTAAGCGAAAATTACCGCGACACTCTCAAGCCGGCGGTTGTTGCGTACTGGGCGACTGTTCACGGCTGGACAACCGAAATTCTAAGCGCCGCTCCTTTTTGATAGTTAACCCTTTCGCGATAAAAGGGAGCAGAATGCTCCCTTTTCCTGGTTTCAACTAAGTACGACGATGTAGCCATGTTAAAGGAGGCAAAATGCCTCCTTTTGATACCGACTATCCTAGATTTGTATACTATAGTTTACCAAAGTGGCTCGCGAAAGGGTTAACCGCCTCGTTGCCCCCCGTTGCGGGTCGGACGATACAGACAGGCTACAGAATGCGGTTCTAGATTGATGGAAGGAGCAATACAACATAAAAAAAACAAGAAGGTGAACCAAGTAGCTAGTAACTTTGGTCAAAAGGGATATTACCCGTCTCGTTCTTTCTGATGTATTGGAATTTAACTGCTATATTCCACCATTAATTCTAAGGGTCATAACCGCGATATGATGTTCTCAGTGCTTTTTAGAAGATTCACTGGTCATATGTACTGTACTCGTTCGTGGGTTCGTCTACAAGCCGCGCTCTATGACTCTATATAATCGTTGAACGGTCTCGACCCCGCTTTTGTCAGGATCCGTAAGAGAAACACGCTTACTACGCCTGGAAAACACTGAAAAGGTTCGCCTCAGCGGTGTGCGGTTCTATAATCGTTCAACAGCCTCGTCCCCAATATTTTCAGAGAAACACGCTTGGTACACCATGAAAACACTGAATTAGGTTCGTCACGAAGGCTCCTAGTATTTGCAAAAGCTGTTCGTCGCCACAACTTGCGGGGAAATGGCGGCCTCAGCAAAGCTCGCAGAAAACATGTCAACAATGGAGCAAGCGGTAGCGGTTGATCGTGAGCGAAAACCTCGAAAGCGTTCCCAAAGTGATTTTTTTTTCGGAAGCTGTGTCTCAGTCTACTCTCGATCGGATCTACAATTAATGCACAAAACGCCTATCTAATTCGGTCATGGGCGAGGATGTGTGCTATGTGTGCGACTGTTGGCATTCTAGCCAAGACATGGAAGAGCGGTTGGTGGCAACATCACATACCATTATTGGTGCAATGAAAAAGCGCCTTAGGCGACCCGAAGGGCTGCCTCCTAAACTGTACCAGTATTACGACGTTTCCCACAAGGTCCCAGCTCTGACTGGAACGTTGTTATCAGCTAAATGTGTTATTGGAGACCACCACGACGGGTTCAAATTGCAGTTATGTAAAGCGTGCTACCAGTCGTTAACGAATAAGCATCTTCACCAAGCACCTAAGTTTACGATAGCTAACGGACTATACGTTGGGTGTTTACCTGCTGCGTTTGCCGACACAACCCCCACGGAACACGCGATCCTAAATCAGGCTCAACCTACAAGAATGTTTTCTGTTCTAAGACTGGGGAAGCATACCGCGATCGGAGCACACGCGTAATACTTGAGGGCTGACCCGGCTACTCCTGTTGATTTGCTACCACGACAGGTCGTATCCGATGGAACAATAGGCGTTACAATGGTGGGGAGCATGACGCCTTTACAAAAGACTGCCACGTTTAAGAAGTATGAGGCGCGTGTTCAACGATTGCTGGAGCAGCTGCAATGGTACCAAAATTATAATCATCTTTTTAAGCGTGTCGAGGCTTCAGATGCCTTTACGAAGAGCAATGTTGCTACCGAAACGCAAGTCGTGCTGGATCGGACTGACGGGACCGCGGGTGGGGCTTCTCCGGGTAATGTAGTGGGTTTGGACGAGGCGTGCCGACGATTTAACGCTCCTGCACCACCTTTCGCAGATGCCGCAGAACCGGACGAAACTGAAGAAATTACCACCGTCGCTTTAGTCACAGACTACAATGTGGGGAGTGACAGTCAACGGGTGCAAGCTTTTATCGAGAGACAGAATGCCATTGTGCGCCGGTCTTCAAGTATACTCTCGGATTTTGATCCGTCGTTTTGGGTGTTTGTTTTTGTAGAGCTGAACCCTTTTGGTCGCGGAGGCCTGGATGAGCCGCGAGGAGTTCCAATCGGGCTGTGCGAATATTTAAAG